ATATATATATATATATATATATATATATATATATATATATATATATATATATATATATATATATATATATATATATATATATATATATATATATATATATATATATATATATATATATATATATATATATACATACTATATTGCAAGAGGTGCGTGCTCACCTATTACTTTTTCAATGGTTCCTTACTATCTAGGTCATGGGGGTGACGGCTTCATCAAGTTTCAAGATGCCGAAGAGCTTACTAGCCAAGATGTATGTTCCAGATTGAGTGCTTGAAATATCATTAGGTTTGTGTATCTACTCCATTGAAAATTGTGAGCATATTTATTTCTTAGTTTGTGGATCTCGTAATGTAGGGAATGTGCACAATTTGTCTGCAGGTTGGCATTAAATGTCTCTGGAGATAAAATTTCATACGGTAACAAGTAAAATACTTCGGCCACTTCTTGCGCGAGATTTGTATATGCCCTGACCTATTGACACGCAACGGAGGAGTCTATAGTAACGGTGGTGCATATTTCCGGAGACTGTCTCTATATAACTTTCCTGATGCGCTCAAGTGTGTAGATACCTTTACATGCCTTGCAAGAGAATGTGCTGCATATCCAGGTCACTTCAATACACAAAAACGGATGTGGCTATATGCCGTCAGATGAAGACCACTATCTGACCTGATGACTTCTATTCGTATTCATAATTACTTCCGTTGAGTGCTTTTTCAGGTTTCCTGGGTGCTTGAGTGTGGTGTGGGAATGATTTCTTCACTAGGTGCTTTAGAAGTATCGTACACATGTCTTGTCTTGTGTCTGCTCAAGTTTCCGTGTCGCTATTACACCGCTAGCATTCTATTTTGAACACTTTTGGTACTTCTACACTATGGCTGTTGTGTATTTGTTCAGCTCTGAATCGGTTGATTGCCACTGATTGATATAGCATATGGAGCGGTTATGGACCATGCGTACCTGCATTGAGTGAGAATCGCAAATAAGCCTATTAAACTGTCCAACGCAACGCTTGTTAGCCCGGACAGTACAGTTCGGCCCCCACGAGTGGTCATTTCAGGAACGAACATGTGCTACCTTTTGCAGATATACCATCTTGCACGTATATGTTACTAAATAGAATATGAACCACCATAAACATACTGACCGGCCGCTCTCGTCACCTGTAGGTAGGGGACATCTTCCAGCAGATGCATGAGAAGGGGCGCTACAATGAAGTGCTGTTCATGGTGGATACGTGTCAGGCGGCCACACTCTATGACCACGTGCGCTCTCCAAATATAGTCAATGTGGCATCGAGTGTTCTGGGGGAAAGTTCCTATTCGGTAAGTAGCCGTGTAGATGAACAAAGCTTGTATGTTATTGTTCGGATGCTACTGGGAGAAGTTTCAGTCTGTACAAAGGTCCGGCGAGTATCCATATAGGCTTATAATTTTGTTCGATAGCAATGTATGTATACAGATACTTGTGCGCGAGTGCCTCTGTGTGTTGTACTAATAATTGAAAGTAAACACACATATTCAGTTGTGTTCACACGTTGAAGTAAACTTCCAATATTTCACCGGAAAATGTGTACATGTGCAACGTGGATATTCATAAATACATTCATATGCACGAATGTGTATCTATATAAATTTATATATGTACATGT